AAACAGTTACAACAAGTGGATTTGAAGAATGAAAATTTTGATTTAGATGAATGTGAGGCGAATCAAAGAAAGGAAAGGTTTCTAGACATGTGAGATATTATGAGGAAGAGGAAAGCAACATGGAAATAGAAATCTAGAATTAATTGGATTCAATAAGGTGATGCTAACATGAGGTATTTCTATAAAACAGAAAATGGAAGATGTGCTCAAAACAATATCACAAGCATATTGTGTGATGGAAGTTGGGTAAATGAGCCAGAAATGGTGAAGGAGATAGTTTAGTACTTTTATAATTTATTTCAAGCAAATTTATGGAATTGACCAAGGCCTAAGGGTATACATTTCAAAAAGATTTTTGAGGAAAGTAAGGATTGGCTAGAGAGACCGTTTTCAATCAAAGAAATTGAAGATGCCATGAAGAGTTGTGAAGGGTCTAAAGCTCTGTGGCCACATGGGTACAATTATAATTTTATCAAGTTTACGTGGGATACTTTAGAAAAGGACTTCATGGATTTCTTCATGAAATTTCATTTGAATGGAAGGTTAGTGAAAGGGTTGAATTCATCTTTTTTAGCTTTGATTCCTAAGAAGTTATGTCCCAAGGAACTCAGGGATTATATAAGTTATGTCCTAATAAGTTTAATTGGGTGCATCTATAAATTATTAGCAAAGGTGTTGGCTAATTAACTCAAGCAAGCGATGACAGGAATAATCAATCATACTAAATCATCTTTTTTTAAGAGATTGTCAATTGGTAGATAGTGTATTAGTTTTGAATGAAATTATTGATGAGGTAAAAGGAAAAAAGCAGCCAACTTTTGTTTTAAAGTTGATTTCAAAAAGACTTGCAATTGTGTGGATTAGTCCTTCTTGGATTGGATGATGGATAGGTTAGGATTTGGGATCAAATGGAGAGGATGGATTATGGAGTGCCTATCAATTGCAAGAGTATTGGTTCTAGTAAATGTTAGTCCAATAGGAAAAATTGAGGTAAGGAAAGGCTTGCAACAGGGAGATCCATTATCTCCTTTCCTTTTGTATTGGCTGGTGAAGGATTACTTGGGTGTCATAACTCGATTTTTCATTAAGTTCATTTAGACTTTTCATGAAAAAAATATAAAAAATTCAAAATTAATCAAAAATCACAAAAATTACAAAATGTGAAAAAATGTAAAAAAAATGTAAAAACAAATATATGAATTTTTCTCTTTTTTCCTTTTCTTTAACTAAGTTATTTTGTTTCAAGTTCAACATGCAAAAAGAAAATTGTGTGATGAGATTCAAAAGGGAATTCAAGGATTTAATTCAAAACATTAGAAGTTGGGGGTTAAATTATATTAAAAAACCTTAAAGCCCTGATCCATTTACAAATTCATCTCAGTAGTCCATAAAATGGTCCAACTTCATCCAAAAATAAGTCCAAAACCACTAAACCCAAGCTTAGCCCAAAACCAATAATAAAAACCTAGTTTCCATTCTTTTTGAGGGGGGTAGCAGATAAAAAAAAACAAAGTTATCAATCCTTTTCCTCTTTGGCCAACTGCCACCACCACCATCACCTGTTTTTGACCTCCAATCTCCATCTCCACCTTTATCTCCACGAGCATCACCTTTTCATCATTACAGCCACACACGGTTGGGAATACGCCTTGGGTTCCTTCTCGATTTCTCTTCTTGCCGGCTACAAGTTCATCTATGAATAGCTCCCTTTCGTTCAATCCATCAGCTTCGAACCACCACCACTTCCTCTACGTTGGTCTCGTCTCCTGTGGGTATTCTCTAAAACAGAGGAATTTTGGGGCAGCAGTGAAGAGAAAGATCCAGTGACTATCCCGTGGGTGGGGTACCCTAGATCGGACTCCGATTAGCCACCCAAAATTTCACCATTTAATTTTCTAAAAAAAAAATTGTTTGCTTTAATGTTGATTGCATTTTTGTAAATGATGATGCTAATCTAAGAATATTGGAATTGTTTTCCTCATTATTGGTTGTTTATTTGTTGCATATGTAATTTGATAGAACAAAAAAAATAAAAATAAAAATAAAAATGTAAAAAACCCAAATTTTGTTTAGTTTTATTTGTTTTGACCCGAACTAATGTATGGATCATGTTTGTGGGTTGGGTTGACTCAACTCAATAACTTTAAGGTCATGGTCTAAAATAGATTTTAAAAATGGATCATGGCCTGTTTGTCCTGTGAGTTAGCATCGTAAGTTGGCCCAACAAATAAAAATAAAAATATGAAATAAAAAATAACAAAAATCATAATAATTGATTTAAAGAGTGATTAATTAGTTTAATTAATTTTAATTAAAATTAATTGATTACTTTTAAGTTGCTTTAATTGAAGTAATTAGATTAATTTAATTATATTCTATTTTAAGGCTAATTAAAGTGATTAATTATTTTAATTAATTTTAATTAATTCATAATTAATTATTCAATTAAATCAATTATTTTGGTTAATTAGTCTTAATCCTCTTTAATTTCCTTAATCAAGTAAACATCAAAAAAAGTCCAAATTGTCTTTTGTTAAATTCTAGTTTACTCAAGACTTTTTGTAATTAAGCAATTTTGCTCACTAGTTTTAAATAATTTAAGTCAGTCCTCTAAATTTCAAATTTTATCAAATCAGCCCATCAACTTTTAATTTAGTTAGTAATTGTGCATGCATGTTCTTGATTGTGTTCAATTCAATCCAAGTATTTCAAGCTTTGTAATTCCATCCATTTATTTTTTCTAAGTCCACTTAATCAAAATCAAAAACAATAAAAAGTTGAATAAATTCTCAAATGTTAATGTATGTAATCGTGTTTTATCTTAAGGATTGTTTGGTGTGCATATGTCATTTTTCACTCATAGTTGTACTTCTTGACCTTGATTTTTGTGTAGACCATGTTTTAAGGTGGCTTGTTGCACTTTATATTTTGGACGAGTTATGGCTTCTTTCTTTTCTATTTTTCACACTCAATTTTTCATTAATATTTATATGATTTTTGAAATTTTAAGTGATCGTCAACAATGGGATTGTTAAACAAGCAAAAACTGAAGGATTGTTGTGTGGGGCAGAGATTGGCAAGAGTGGGTTTTTGGAGGGAGATTTGGGTAGGCAATAAAACATGAAGGGATGTTTACCCTAGATTATTTGAGATGGCATTGAATAAGGATGGAAGGATACAAGAAATGGGGGAGTGGGAGAGAGACTATTGGAGATGAAGGTTGGATTGGTAAAGGAGATTGGGTAGAGAGATAAGTGAAAAGGAGGGTGTTGTGGGAGCTTCTAGGTAGTGTGCATATAAGGGAGGGTGGGGAGGATAAATGGAAGTGGATACATGATGTGGAAGGAATATATGCGGTTAGGAAAGCTCATGCCTTTTTAGATCCAAGTGAAAATATTCTTAATGAACAAGAGTGTAAGATGATATGGTGCAAATTTGGTCCTTGAAAAGTAAGATTTTATTTTAATTTTTTTGTTGGAGATTATGCTTAAGTAGGCTTGCAACAAAAGGTAATTTACAAAGTAGGAGGGTGACTTTGCAAGGGGAAGAATTGCCGTGTGGTTTACGCAAGGAGCAAATGGAGGAGAGCAACCATTTATTTTGTACGTGAAGAGAATCATGGCTAGTTTGGATGAAGGTATTGTAGAATGGGTTACTAAATCTGCCTTGGACAACTCCAAGGATTTAAACATTACCATGAATCAAAGTTAATAGATCCTAAACAAGCTAAATGACATGCAAATTAAAATAAATTCATAAATAAAAAATGCATCCAAATTAAACAAAACATGTTCATTGTCAGATTAAACTGCTATTTACAGACAGATTTGAAAATTAAACTACTACAGAATTAGAAATTTAACCCTAATTAACACTAAAACAAATACGAACAAGGAGTAAATTAACATGCTTGAAATTGAGAAGAAGCGTAAACGCCATATAAGTAATCATTTAATAAAACACTACTTATTATAAATATTAAATTAACATTGGTTAGAAAAAGAATAATACCTTACAAAAATTCAAAACTTGATGTCTATTACATGAAACAAAATTGCTGAAACAAGTACTCAAACTAGTTTGACTACTAAAATGATGAAAAACAACCTAAATCTATTGGAAATTGTGCTGAAATCCAAAATCTATAAGCTAAAGCGAGCAATCACAAAGAAATTGAAAGGCTAAAAATTTTCAAGTTGTGAGTGGGGGCTGGTCTTGTGTTGAATGAATAAAAATTTTCCTTTTTTTTCCTCTTCCTTGCCTGCAACCCCCACTTTCTGAAGTTACAAAAATCATGTGCAGTTTGGGACACCTCAGTAGTTGATAGGGTCAAATTTCTTTCCCGATTTTGCCACCTATCCTACTATCTAATAACCTACACCCATAACTGAAACCACCTCTTAAATTTTAGCTAAAACGGGCCTAATTTGACTCAAAAAGGTAATTAAAAGATAAAATCTTATCTTTGTATCTTCTTATTTCCTATATGGCGCTGATATGTCATAGGGCTTAGAATTGCATATTTGACATGGCTAAATCTCCTCCAACCATTTAAAAAAATTTTGACATGTGGCACGATAGTAAATTTTAGCAATGTATGGTGTAAACAATGCCTGCCAACACTTGGTTTTATGAAAATAAATCCAAGTGTTTTAAATTAAATAAATTGCATGTAAAACTTCAACTCCCTAAGCCACATGCCGAATTTCAACCATTAAAATGCACATGTTAAACAACTTCAAAATCTGAAAGAGGAGATCTTAAACCTCGAGGCCAAGCTTGCAAAATTGAAGAAACATATCCCATAGAAAGAACAAATAAAGTAGAACCTGGCAGCGTCGCACAACAAACTCTGCACAAATTTAGAAGCAGACCTACAAGCACTTTTCAACATCAAAGCACAGCTTCCTTCTTTCACAGCCTCTGTGTTCATGCTTATGGCAACTTGCTTGTTGCATGTTCTGCTCATATTCTGTAGCAGGTTGAGATCTGTCATGGCCAAATTATGGACACTTTGATTGCTCACGACCAAATTTGGCCAGCTTACATATTCAGCTCAGCACTTTTATTGAATTATAAAATGCTAAAAAAGAAAAGAAAGTATTATACAGCTCCAGCCCCAAATCTGTCTTAGGTAGAATTCATGGCATCCAGACCTCTAGCTTCCCATACCGTAGGATAGTAAGGCATAAGGTAGATTCCATTTATTTTTCGAGGATGTAACTCTCCATCTAGTGATTCAAGCCAATATGCTCCCCCTCTAAGTACTTCATGGATACGAAATGGTCCTTCCCAGTTGGGAGACCATTTCCCAAATCTGGGATCCTTTTTTCCAAGTGGCAAAATCACTTTCCAGACCATATCTCCTTCTGCCAGATTTCTGGACTTCACTCGCTTGTTGTATGCTCCGACTACTTTTAATTTATGCGTTTGCAGCCTATCTAAGGTCGTCAATTGCATGTCTTCAAGGTCCTTTAGTTCTAACACCATTGCATCACTATATTCTCTAGAAGTAAGACCATGTTGAATCGCTATACGTAATGATATGGTAGATAACTCCATAGGCAAAACAGGATCATGTCCATAGGTTAAAGAGAATGGAGTTACCTTGGTAGAATTCCTTTGTGAAGTTCTGTAAGCCTAGAATGTGTCAGATAATAGCTCATGCCAACACCTTGGATTATCATCAACCATCTTCTCAAGCAGATTTATCACAATTCTGTTGGAAGCCTCTACTTGACCGTTGGCTTGAGCATAATGAGGAGTTGAAGTGAGTAAACGAAAACCCATTTCCCTTGCAGACACTTCCACTTGTGAACCAACAAAAACTATCCTTTGATCTAACGTTATCGTTTCTAGCAAACCGAAATTGTGAACAATATCTTCTTTGAGGAATTTAATAATATTGGTTTGGCTTACCTTCTTCATTGACTTTGCTTCTACCCATTTGGTGAAATAATCTGTAGCAACTGATACACTAAAATCACTCTAACAAGTGTACTAATTGCTCCAGGTAATATAATAGTAAGTAGAGTGTCGAACCTACGAGGATTGTGATTAACTAAGAACAAAAAATAATTAATCTAAATTTATTTGAACAATAAAAAAAGAAACTTTAATTAAAAAAATAAAAAGAAAATAACAATTAAAATAAAACTAATTAAGATATGAGGTACTAAGATATCAATTTCACAATAATCAATCAATATAAATTCAAAATTAATATGATTCCAAAACTAATTTGTTGAGTGTTATTGCATGTGATGGTGGATTTTCTTAAATTAACTAACTAGTTTTCTCAAGTCAAGTTAATTCTTCACTCCTTTATTAAATTAGTTATATGTTTGTGTAATTTAAAACAAACTAATGAGTATTAAATTTTACGAAAACCTTTAGCTTAAGAAGGGAGAGCTCCTAACTCTCTTCTTTTCCTCCATTACCACATGTGAGCTAATTACCTTTTGATCTCATAGTCTAACACGCGGTTTATATTATTATTGGTCTAATTTATGCAATTCTTTCTCAAGTTCATGCATAAATCACTAAATTAATTAAAAGGTGATCAGACTTTCAATGCATTAAATTCAATAACATAAATTCATTATGCAAATAATTTTAATTGAAAGTATAAAAATCACAAAATTTATATTAAATTGATTAGGCTACATCATAGCCTTGATAGACAAAATTAGTTCATAAAAAAAAAATAAAACTTGAAATGTTAAGCACATAATAACATCATCGTGTTGTGTTTTCGGCCTTCTAAACAATTTCTTTTAATGATAAAATAACAGTTCTAGTTCTTAACTTTTGAATTCTGCACAAGTTAATCCTCATGTTTCTGATCTCTGCAATTGTTGACGACCACTTAAGATTTCACAATTTTAAAAAGAAAAAAATAAAAATAAAAATAAAAAATTAAGAGTGAAAAATAGAAAAGGAGTCGTTATTCGTCCAAATTATAAGGTAGGACAAGTCACCTAAAAAAAGGTCTGTGTAGAGATCGAGATTTGAGAGTTCAGTTAAGAGTGAGAAAGGGCATATGCGCACCTTACAATCCTTCATATAAACATGGTTGCATGCTTTAACATTGTGATTTTAATTCAACTTATTTATTATCTCTTTTTTTAGGTCTTAATAGGCAAACTTAAAAAATGGATCAAATTGTAATATTTTTAAACTTTTAGACTAGAATGGACAAAATCAAGAACATGCATGCACAATGAGCACAACAGCTGGCTACAAAGTCAAAACCAACTTAAAATTTTCACCCGTAGAGCCGGCTATAGCTTCCAAAGTCGGTTGCAGCTTCCAGAGCCGCTCTCTGCAATTTTACCTTCCAAAGCCGGCTACAAATTTCCTTAAGCCGGCTCTCTACACATTTTTAGCCTTTTTGGTCCTTTTTAATGCAATCCAAATTCACTTTTACAATCTTTTAAAAGTTTAACTACACACTTAAATGAACTAATTAGTTACTCAAATGTATTTTGTAATCATCAAAATCATCGGTACAACAATCTTTCCCTTTTTAATGATGATAAAACACTTTGAGAATGAATTAATGAAAGCACATATACACAATATTAACCAGAAATTTCAGCACCAAGACACTCCAGAAAATGACATTAAATCATAAGAATTTAGCATACTTTCTCCCCCTTTTTGTCATCCATCAAAAAGCATATAAACATTATCAACAAACTCCCCCTTAATTCATGCATACAACCTTTAAAGCATAAAAAAATATGTAATTTAAGCACAATATCCACAAATTGCTCCCCCTCAATAAGAGCATACAATTATCAAAATCATAGACAACCATTAGTAACGATAAATGCATGAGTCATGCTATTAATATAATACCATGCCAAAGTCATGTGCCATTACAATCCACAAAACATGATAAAAGGTTCAAGACATATCCATAGACAAAGAAAAACATAGTCACAAGCTTAAAAACTTAAAATGCATAAGCCTAAAATGTCCATCCTAAAGATTAGCCAAACAAAAGAAATATCAGGTTAGGTGGCACTAGGTGGGGGTGGAGGAAAAAAATGGTTAATGAGCTGATCAAGCTTTCCATCCATAGAGTCCATCCTCCCTCTCATTTCCTTCTGGAAACCATAGAAGTCGGTGTGTAATTGTCGCATCTCATTTATCATAAGCTCCATGGTTTCGCGGTTAGTCTTTTGCATGGAGGCTTGAAAAGGTCTTAGGCTGTCACCTCCATGTTGTCCTTCCCTTTGCTCTGCCATTTCTTGGTCTACATCACCTTCTTCTTCATCCCCTTGCTGTTCCATTGCTTGATCCCCTATCTTCCTCCAAATACCATTCAGAAGCTCATATTGCATATTCTCAAAGGAGGCTGTATTGAGTGTAGTCCCACCTTGAATCTTTCCAAGCCTATAAGGTGTAAGATCAATGTTGTTCCTCTTCGCCAATCTAGTAATCAGAGCACCATGAGGAAGTCCCATATTTGACGAGTAATTCTTGATTAGGTTCCGATAAATGAATCTTTCAAGGTTCAACCTTTTCCTTTTGAGAATATAATCAAACCATGAGAGATCACTGCCAAGTACAACAAATTTAGAACCCTTTCTTTGAGCAAAAATGTGACTAATAATCCACTGCAATGCTCTATTTTCTGGTGTAAGGAACCCCACATTAATTTGACTTGCAGTGCAATTTGGGGCAATTGTGGCTCTAACTACAGATGTATTTACATCTTCAAACTCATCATCTCCTCTTTCAGGTATTTCTAATGCAGCACAAATTTCTCTCGGTGAAAACTAAAATGGCACCCCAGAAACTATGGTTTGGCATATATCCCTTTTTGGTTTCAAATTAACATAAAACTGATGAACTACTTCATTATACACAGGCTCCTTAATTTTCTAAACAATTTATCCACCCAATTTCTCTAAATACCTCTTCAACATGCATATCTCCTTGAAGGAATTGACTAAATTTCACACTATTGCATGGTGGAACAAGCAAATTCTTGACAGCATTATACTTATCAAAGGTTTCTTGATCCCAAAAGAGACTAGAAGCATAGGTATTACCTTCTTCCTGAGCCTGTCCCTCAGCACTCAAACTTCCCATTTGTTTCCTTTTACTTCCAGCCCTTCTTGAAGCCATGAGAGAGAAAAACAGCAGATTCCACACAAAAGTGGAGCAAAAGCTTGAAGATTGATGTTGGGTAAGCTAGGATTTTGAGGTATTTCAGTGTTTAAATGGTGGGTTTTGCAAATCTGGAGGGTTTGAGTGTTTAGGAGAGGAAAGGGCGTGGTTTTGGAGAGGAGAAACTAATCTAGTTGTGTGAGGAGAGAGAAGCCCGAAAATTAAAAACTGCCAAGAGAGCCGACTGTAGTGCCAGAGGCAGTTGTGATGCGAATCCGAGTCGAGTTTTGTTTCGGGTGAGCCGACTGGGGAATGAAAGCCGGCTTAATTTGGAGAATCTCAACTTTCTATTTTTGGGGTTGAGCCGGCTGTGAAAAATGTGCAGCTAGCTGTACTAGCGTTGAATGGTACAAATAAAAGGTCTGGGGCTGTTTTGAAGAGAGTGCATCTTAATTTGATATTTCTTCATTTAACTAAGTATAAATTGGACATCAACTACTAAATTACGCAATTTTAGTTATATATCAATATTTGCATCAACCAATAACATGATTATAATCAAGGTACACATATCAAAGTCATCAATATGCATAAATTCTAATAAGCAAATATATTAATTTAAAAAGCCATATCAAGCACTAGGATCTAACATGCCAAGCTCATTAATTTGCATAAATTTTAATAAGCACATCAAATGATATCATACTCAACAAGCATATATCTCAAAGAGTGAACACACATAAATAAATAATTAATAGTCGTGTTAAAATAATTATACTCAATGAATAAATGTAATAAAATAAATAATACCAATTTGATCACATGAGTGGAGCATTCAAAAACTAATTTTTTTTTGCACTTTTACTCCAACATTCTTGTTGAGGCATAAGTCTTTATCAAGATCAACTTTGCTTTTCTTATGACTTTGCCATCAACTCTACCTACAAAACAAAATCAAATTTTGATTTTTGGTACCCAAATTTGCCTCACTTTACCTTGAGCTATTAATCTCTTCAAAGGGCATATATAAGCAAAGTGTCCATTTGCACCACAACACTAGCAAGTAACTTTAAGATTAGAGAATTGACTTGCCCTCACAAAGAAGTCCTTAAAAGTCTTTTGCTTTTTAGAATAATCAAATCTAATACCTCCTTTGTCATAAACACTTATTTGAGATTTTAAAATAGAATCAAATTTTTTCTTTACTTAAGGTAAATTTGGAAATTACATTTTCAAAATCACAAACTTTTCTCTATAAATCCTCATTTTCCTTCTTTAAATCCTCATTTTCCTTTTTCAACATATTATTAGATTCCTCATTCTTTAAAGATGCAATCTCACCATTTAAAGAGGCATTTTCTTTAACTAAAACCTCATTTTGTTTTGAAAGAGATTCAATTTCATTTTTAAGCAATGAAATAGTTTTAGTAGAAGCAAGATTCTTATTCCCTAGTTTCTTGATATCATTCATAGAGCAATCAAGAACTTTGCATAAATTATCATAAGAATACTCAAATGAACTTTCATTAATTGAACTAGAGAAATTAGAGTTTACCTCCTCATCATTGTTGCTATCCTCTTGAGCCATGAAGCAAAGATTTGCAACACCATTGTCCAAGGAACTTTCACTTTCCGTTGAGCTAGTCTCATCATTGCTCCAAGCGGTGGTAAAAGCTTTCTTCTTCATGCTCTTCTTGTTTTTCCTTTCACCTTTCTTCAATTGAGGGCATTCATTTCTATAGTGCCCCATCTTGTTGCACTCATAGCATCTGATATGCTTCTTACTTGGCTTTCCTCTATCATCATCATCACTACATATTCTTCCTCTAGAATAGTGAATTTCCTTATTTCTTCTAGAAGATGTCCCTTTGAGGCTCTTCTTCATGTATTTCTTCACTTCCTTTGAAACCAATTTGGTGATGTCCTCCTCATTGCTAGCTCATCATTACTAGCATCAATTTCACTTTCTTCTTTTTGTTTGCTAGCCTTGAATGCAACATCCTTCTTCTTCTTCTCAACTACTTCAATCCACCATCAACTTGAACTTCTATCTTATATGTCATCAATTTTCCAATGAGATCTTCAAGCTTGACAGTGTTGAGATGCTTAGACTCTTCAATTGCTGTCTTCTTGGCTTCCCAATTCTTGGGCAAGTTTCGAAAAACCTTTCTCACCACTTCTTAAGGAGGATAGAATTTACCAAGAGCCTTGAGATTGGTGACTATATCATTCAATCTTGTATATATATCTTGAATGCTCTCCTCCAGTTTCATCTTAAAAAGTTTATACATGTAAATGACTTGAATGCTCTCTTATATATACAAATTTATTAAAAATAACTCTTTAACTAGCATACGTATCTCAATCTTAAAAACTTGAAAGAAATAACTAAAGTCCACTAACAATTAAATATCTCATGCAACAGTAGCAATAATCCACACTAATTCACAAATGAGATAGTATAATTTTGCGTAAGAAAACCACAAAAATCCTAATTACCTCTGGCAGTGGGGACGGTGATGCTGTAAAGACTGGATTGGATCACAAATTTGTAAATAGATAAGGTCCTACAAATCCAAAAACAAGGGAAATTTCTCCAAATTCTTGGTGAAAAAACTAATCGTTGGAGGTAGCAGTGGGTTTTTGATTGGGGTGGTGAGGTGGAGGCAATGAAGGTGGTGTAGGTTGGATTTGGACCTACAAAAAAGGAAAAATGGGGTCTTGTAGACCCAAATCTAACAAAAAAAAAAAAAAGAATCTAACCATTGACGGTGTTGCAATTTGCAAGGAAGGCAATAGTGGGTCACCTCCTCTGGGTGGTGTGGTGGCCTAGAGGCGATGGAGGTTGGATATGGAGCATGGATCTACAAGAAAAAAGGAAATGTCGATTGTAAATCCAAGTAAAAAAAAAAAAAAACTAAATCTATTGGGAGAGGGGCCAAATCACTGTCACTGGCGTGGGGATTCCGAAAGCAAGGGGCACGAAGACTAGTCCCACAACTAAGCATGAACAGCAATGGCAAACTTTGCCGAAGAAGAAACTAGATGGACTACAAAGGAAGCAGAAGAAAATGGGGAAGAAAGGCGAGTCGAGGGGTTAATAAAATAGTATATTTGACAGCTAAGGTTGTCAATTATATAGAAGAAATAGAACCAAATGGCATCATTTTGAGCCATAATCAATAGAAAAACTATCAATTATGGCTTGTACATAATCGACAACAAAATGCTATCAATTAAATATAATTGACAACCAGTTTTCTATCGATTATACCGATATAATTGACAACATTATATAATTAACAGAAAGGTTGTTGATTATATATATTGTCGATTAAACGGGCCAATAGTGGACATAATCGACAGAATAATATAATCGACAACCTTTTCTATCAATTATATAGGTATAATCGACAGAAAATTGACTATCAATTATAAGTTTGTCGGTTATACTGTGTTTTCTAGTAGTGATAGTCATTGGAGAAAATCTCATGGTAAATTCAACTTAAGGGCAAGAAAGCCAAGATTTAAGAAAATGAGAGGACATGTGCTACGACCTAATCCAAAACCACCTTGGAGTGGTAGAAATTCTAACTAATGACTATAAATTAGGTGCTTCTTGGGAAGCAACCCAAGCATAAATTTTTCTCTGTCTTTTATTTTAATAGTTTAGATTTCTTTTTTTTTTCTTCTTCTCTTTATGGCCCAGGTTAATGCATAAATTGTTGTTTTTTTATTTTGGCTAGGTCATTGAACAAGTTTAGGGGACAAGATTATGGAAATTCACCTGCTAGAAGTCTCCTCTAATTGAAGACAACTCAACCTCAAAACTTAAAATTTAAGTCTTCAAGTACAAAACCTAGGAAGTTTCTCTTTTCTCCTACTTTTATTTTACATTGAGGACAATGTTTGATTTAAGTTTGAGGGAG